CATCTTATGTGCGCAATAATTTACACATATGACACATTTTAATAGTTAGTAGTCTATTTTATTAATTACGAAATAACGGAAAATTTCCGATTGTTAAGAAATTATGCCGGAGTTTTTCTCAGCTAATCGGAATCTCCGGTATTTTACAATAGAATTTTGTGCCCTGCTTAGGAGCTAGATAACAGTAACTACGGTTACTGTATAACCCCGTGACAATAATAACTGGATTTTCCGCAAAATTTATTTTTGTTTGTTTAATAATCATTATCTTTCACTTAGTATGACTGCTTATATCAAGACCACGGGATTTTAATTTTAAAATAGTTCCAAAACTGATGTATTTTGCTTAGAAGAAAGTATTCTACTATTACTAATTATAGATACAGTTATTATTAGTGATGTGCTGCAACATAGTCCAAAATACTTAGTGAGGATTATTTTGTCGATCATCACAAAATAAAAAAAAATCTGTTTGTTCGAGCAATACAAACCCAAAAAGGAAATTTAATCTGTAAAAAAACTAAGTTCATGAAAATAGGATTTTGGATTAGGGCATTAGCTTTAGAGACTGTACAAGTAATCTAACAAAGATTGTATGTAAAATTTCATTCCCGACATTTTTAATTAGTATACTAAAGTCTGTTTAAACATTATTTTTCGAGTAATTTCGTTTTTTTCCTTAGTACGTGTTTGTGAATAACCAATTTTCTGATTGGCTATTTCCTTTTTAAGAGTTTGCACCATGAGGCTTAGACAATGTTTGTGATCATCCACACCGCGTATGAAAAGATTTGAATAGAATATTCGAGAACAAGTCATAAAAGTAGGCAGAAATAATAAGATTATTCAATACGAGTATCTTATTTATTTATAATAATTTCATACAGTACTTATACAATATATTGCGTATTAAATTGTTTGAATTCAGATACATACATATAAATGTGGTTTGGGTTAAATATTGATAGATAAATATTATTATGTTGTTGTTTATTAATCATAAATATGAGTAATTATTTTTGAAGCCGGACCACTTTTTATAATTTTACACAGTAAAAGTTTATTAAATAATTTGATTGCTGAAATATATTGTTTAAAATATTTATATGATCACGTAAAAAAAAAAAAAAAAAAAACAAAACAAAAATAAGAATAAAATTTCCATAATAATAATTCATAATTAATTTAAAAAGTTTTTAATAAAATATTTGAACTAATCTGTTTGAAGTATATTATTTCACCGTAATTAATTCAAATGATAAAATTAAATAAGTCTTAAAAGAAGGAAATAAATTTCCATTTATCCATATTTTTCATAATTTATACATACAATATGTATATGCTTATATTCATACTTAACAAAACAAATAATATAGGCCTTCATAAAAATTTTCGCCTTGAGAATTGAAATTAACTTCATAATTATTCAACAAATTCATATCGGTATTGTAGAATGAATCGTCTTGATTTACGGGTATATGTGTTTGCTCAACAGATCTACCAATATCCTCGTAATAATGCGAAAAAATATCGTCAAATGCCAGAGACTGTTCGCGACAATCAGAATTTCTTTGGTTAATAGTTATTGCAGGGCTGATTATTTGAAAAGGGGTATCGTTTGATTTACGACCACGCTTTTTCCAGTTTACCCGTTCACATTTAAGGTTTCGTTTTGCGCAATATCTACATTGAGGCTTTTCATTATCGCATCTGTGTTTCTTAGACTTACAATTTTTACATGCGGCTCCCTTAATATATTGTCTACGACTCATTATTATCAAAATTATTTGCAAAGTTCAACCAAAATTACAAAGATTATATATAATATTTATTAAAATAAAATATGTAGAAAGTCAGCTTTATAATATGAATAAACTAATTTTGAATATCTGAACTTTCTACAATCAAAAAAGGTGCGAAAATTAGGTTATTTATATATATATATTTTTATTTAGTCAAATATAAATTAAAATATTTTTATTAATTATTCAGATTTCAGAATCCTGATAAAGAAATCTTTCAGCGCGCAACCTTCTACAAAAGAATAGAAAATTCCGGAATATATATTTTTTTGATACTGTGTAGTCAGATGAAAATTACAAATAACTATTTGATTGGTGGATGTCAGCCGACCTATAGATTTTATTGGAAATTTTTGTAACAATTTATCAATATAGTTTTTATGGCTTAGTCTGATTAAAATCTATAATTAGATAAAAAAATTTGTAATATTTATTAAGTCGTTCAAAAGTATTTGTTTTTAGAAAATTTAATAATCTTACTTAGAACTTTGTGAAACTTACTTTTAAATAAAGCTAAATCGTAAAGAATGACATAGTTAAAGTACGAAAAATAATAGTTGGAAAAACAAAAAGTGCATAAATTATAATGCACAACGTGACATAAAGCCGAAATTTATAAACATTGAAATTTAGTAATAATTATCAAAAAATAACTATGATAATTGGCTTAAATGCATGACCTTATCGATTCCTCAAATGTTTTTCCTTTTAAAAAAATTATGTAATTATCCGGAAGGTCTGAGCCGATTCAGAAATAGACAAATTCTTTAATAATACCCGAGAATAATGTATTTAGTCAATAATTCCGACGTGACTGTAATACAGATTTTCTTCGTGATACTTGACGTCGATTAATCCAGCTAATAACCTTGAAATTATGTTGTTTTAAGCAACAAAATTTTTTACAATGAATTTAGATATAGGAATTTTAAAATACTTTCGAAATACGCTTTGTTTTGTTCTGCGCATGATACTGTGCAAATTTTTTTTTATTTATATTTATAATTCGACCAAACCGGCCTGCATTAGCATAATGCAGGCCAAAAATTTCATGCGCAGATGTTCATAATTACACATCAATTTTCAAAACGTTTTATGATTATCAACACAAAATGTCACTCACTGGTAGAATAGTGGTTATTTTTTGCCAGATAATATATTATTAAGATATGGCTATTACCCCAATAATTATGTAATATGATTTTGTTGGACTGTGTTGTACACGGACGTTGTCCCGTTAAAATTGCAGGGACCATGTCCGTGATAGTACATTGCACACAAAGGTTTATAAAACGATCTGATTGGCTAACAAGGCCGCTCTTATTATAACTTTTCGTTGGCCATGTCCGTTGTCCCATGACAACACTGCCAGTTACTATGGTCTTTATTACGCTTACAGAACAGAATTTAGTCTTTAAGAAATTTTAGCAACCGAATTTGATGAAGTGATAATAATATTAGGACTTTTGATTTCTTTTGATATCACTCTGAAATAGTCATGTCACAAAAATTGGCGATCACGTGTCTTTACCCAACCAAATTTTGAGATCAGGTAGAATAAAGCGAAAGATTTAATGCAATAAAGCTTTAATAGCAGGGTTAGGGTCAGAGTTCAAAAAGGGCTTAGTTTATAGTGAAATCTAGCAAGGAATTTTTTTAATTAGAGCGCAGTAGGTGTTACTATTGTTTTGGGAGAACGCTATACTATAAAGAAAATTTTCTACAATATAAGAATGAAAATATAGGAATTGATTCTTTATTAGCACAGAATAATAAGAAATATTTGAGACTACTTTTAGAAAGAGTTTCTCAGTTTGCACTAAATAAAATCAAGAGCAAACTTCTTAATACAACTATATATAAAGCTTGTCTGATAATTATGAGTTAATTATAATCTTTTTTGTTACTATTTGCTTCTAATAAAAGGTTCTATTATACTATTAGTTATTTCTACAAGATAGATGTTATTTTCTGAACAAGATTGATCTAATTTTAGTTACAAAATTCAGAATAAAGTATTAGATAATTTAGATAGTTTTTTTTTATTTAAATCTAAGCTATATATAATCAAAACATATTATATAGACTTTAAAGATAAATAGCAAAAATTAATTATCTTAAAAGAACTTAACAATATTTTGACAACACTAGAAGTTAAACTTTTAGATATAAAAGTTCTAAAAAGAATTATAAAAAAAGGTTATTTTATAGAAACTAAATAATTATTAACTATATTAGAATGATTAGAACAAGAAAAAAAAATCAATAATAGAGCCAACTAAATTAAAAACAAAACTATTTTTCTGAAAAATAAATCTAAGAATATTAAAACAAAAAGCATTAATTTTTATAAAATATTTAGCATTTTATATTAAAGATATATTAAAAAAAATTTAACAATTAACAATTCGAGTTATTTTTTTTTTTTAATAATTAACAATTCAAGTTACTTTTTTTTTAACTAGTTAATAAATTTTTATTATTTTATATTTAGAACCTTTTTATTCTTTTTGTTAATATTATATATAAATTTATATTTATTTATATTTATTTATTATTGTATACTATAGATCAAGACCAAAAAATTATATTAAGTTATTATATTCTTGCTAGCAATATTAATTAGGTATATAATCTACTAAATAATAGTAATTGTAAGTTTCATATACTTGCTATTGCTATTAGAAAAAATAAAAAAATTAGAATCTTATAAAATTAGCTGATTAAATAAATATTTAGAAGTTTATAATAACTAGCTAAACTATAATATTAGTTTGCTTAAACAGATATTAGAGTCTAGAGAATCATCTTGTCAACTTTTACTTTGGTTTTTATTATTTGACTATGCTTAATTAGCTGTTAAAACTTTTTCTGTTCCTATTACTATTTTTAAAGAAAAGAAGAAACAGAGTATATTGTTTTTTCTATTAGAAACACTACTAATTCATCAAAAAAATCTAATTATTCTATATTTTATTAATAAAAATCATATTATATATATAAATATAAAAAGATATAAAGAAGTTAATTAGCTACTAGTTAATATTCAATATATACTAATATATTAAAATTATAGTTTTATAGACTACTAGTCAAAACTTTTCTTTAATCATATTTAAATTTATAAAATTTGCTATAGATTAAAAAAAATTTTATGAAGTTTAAAATTTTATTCTGTAATTATAATATAGTAGAACTTGTATTTAGAATTAATCAATAGCTAAATTTGTTATTCATATATATTCACATATTACTTATATATATATATTTTTTTTTTTGTATTAAAGGTGAGGTCATGTCTCTATCTTTATTGATAATTTAATTGAGATTCTGCAAGAAGTTTCTCAATATAAAGAATTAACTTTATAAATTTTAAATTACATGACAAGAATTGAAACTCAGACTATAGTATGTT